AAATATTACCATAAGACGAGGTTATATTTGATAATAAAGAAGAAATGTTTTTAAGGACAACAAAATCAATAAAATTATTTATACTAAAGCTTTTAAGAGTTTGGTAGCTATATTGAACTCTTTATACGGAACAAAAAGTGTGGTTCACTTAATTACGTGTCTATTTCGTCTTTTACTTTCCATATAGAATGAAAATTAAATCATAGATAGCTTTACTGTTTTTAACGTGTTTTTCACGAAGTGTGTACTTTTGCATTCGGTTGAATCAACTTTAGACACAGTTTTCATTCTCATGGCGCCGTCTACTTTCGAAGGTTGGTGATCCAAATGGCAATTGTGGTTTTGGAAACTGCTGCGCGAAAGATTTCTGCAGATGAGCAGGTTTTCGGTTTTTTGGACACAGTTATTAGAGTCAATTTATTCTCTGTGCAGTCAAAATTGCGTTCTAAAATAAATCAACATTATTTTCTAATGGAACCTATGACAGCATAGTCACCACATTATTCGAACCTCGATCAAAACTGTGGGTAGGATGATTTAACAATTTGACGTATTGTTGTGTCAAAATTTTTATTATTTTGCGAGCTGGCATTCTTCCTAACGTGCCCTATCAAGTCCCCTTGACGTTGGCGATTAACATGGCGAAACTGTCTCTGTCTCAAGCTATTCTAAAGAGTTGCTCAGCTTTCCTTATACCTGTCCACTCTCTGATATTCTTCAACCAAGAGGCCTGCTTTCTACCAATTTCTCTGCGTCCTTTGATTTTACCCATCATAATAAAATAAAGAATATTATATCAGTCTCCCCTTACTACGTGTCCAAAATAGGCCATCTTTCTACATTTGATGTTATCAAGCAGCTCGTTAGCTGGCATTATGACGTTATATTGTCCTAATAGAGGATAATTTGTTGTTTATGTTTGGTTGATTAAGATCCAGCAATGAATTGTTGCAAATAAATGGTTGTATACAAATTAGTAGTAATATTTTCTTTAAGAAAATATTACTTTTATCTCATATGGCTATATGACCTTTTTTGGAGGCATTTTGAACACATTTCTAAAATTTTTGTCGGCTTTTATTTAACTGGAAACGTTCAAACAGACGACTGTGTTTTACTTGTTTCTTCTTCTCAGGGTGCCTGTCCGTTCCAAACGATGGCGATCATTTGGCTATGATGACTTTGTTGGTTGCTTTACGGAATAGCTGTGTTAAGGTCTTTCTATATCATGCTGTCAAATTAGCAAACCAAGATATTTTTCGTCCATGGTATCTTCAGGATCCCATATGTATAACCATAGCTCAAAAGCATGAAGTTTTAATAGAGTTTACGCCTTTGATGTCCACGTTTCTACTCCGTACAGAACTGAGTACACGTAACATTTAAGGAGCCTTATTGTTGTTTCTAGGGTGAGTTCATGACTCTTGAACACACTTTTTTCTAGTATTTGTCAATTATTTATCATAAGTCACAAAGTTTTAGACGTTTTTTAAGTTTTCTACATTAAAGCGATCCAGAGTTATTTGACCAATTTACCATAGCTGCTTTATGCCCTTTTTAAACAGATGCATTCAGTGTTTAGCGAAAAACTAATCTTTTTTCACCAACTTCTATTGATTTTTTTTTTCAAATCCCAGAGATGCTTCTATTTAGCAATAGATTAATCTTTATAGATGCGTTTGTCCAAATTATCGACGGTATTTAGAGTAAGTGTCACTTTTAGTGCACCTCTAGTCTTAGATTTTCGCTAAGACTAATCCGTACACCATTTTAGTTTCTCATATCAACGAAATATTATTGAATGATAGTGTTTCATTGCCAAAAGGAAAAACCAAAGAGATAAGCATATACATTAGCTAAATATACAGCAAAAAAAATGCCATCTTCAAATTAAGCAAGGTGAGAAGATTTGTTTGCGTTGCAACTGCAGAAGCTCTGAGGATCAGACCAACAGGTGTTTTGCTCTATGGGGCCTTGCTGGATACCTCTTTTCTGCATATTTTTATAACGACTAAAGCGAGAATATATATATATATATATATATATATATATATAATATATATATATATATATATATACACATAGAAGTAATAATTTTATACTTTTGAAGGAACTGCAAATTATGCTGGGGGAACTAGCAGCCAGCTCCCAATACAATACGTCGGCCTAAAAATGAATATAAAAAAAAACAAAAATAATGACAAACACAGAAGACCCCAGACATTTAACTATAAATGGCAGTGAGATAGAACAAATCCAGGAATATATCTACCTAGGCCAAATCCTGAGATTTGACAAAGAGAACCAAAGTACGGAAATTACTAGAAGAGCAAGACTAGCATAGGCAGGATTTGAAAAACTTAGTTGGATACTTATGAACCGCAAAATACTCCAATACTTGAGGAGTAAAGTGTTCAACCAATGCATCCTTCCTATCATGACATATGGATGTCAAACCTGGACCCTAACCAAGGCAAACATAAATAAACTAGCCACAACAGAAAGAACAATGGAAAGAGCAATTTTAGGTATACGACTGTCAGATAAAAAGAGGAACGACTGGGTAAGATCCAAAACAAAAGTCGAGGACATAACAATAAAAATTGCAAAACTTAAATGTAGCTTCGCGGGCCACACTGCTAGACAGAAAGACTACCGTTGGAATACTACAATTCAACATTGGAGACCTTACGAAAGTAAACAACCAAGAGGAAGACCACAGATGAGATGGGTTGATGACATTAACAGAATAGCCGGAACAAATTGGAAATATGTTGCTCAGGATAGAGACCGATGGAAGGAGTTGGGAGAGGCCTATGTCCAAACATGGACGACAGAAGAAGAAAAAGAATAATTTTATAATAGTTCTAGTATCTCTAACAAGATCACGAATATTAAATGGATGACGATATTTGACCATTAGGTACCCAAATACAAATGTAACATACTTGTCTAAAAAAAGGTAATATCGGTCAGTAATTAGACGCTTGTTTTTTAGGGAAATCGCGCAACAAAATAAAAAAGCGCTGGAATGCTGAGTACGATGACTCTTCTTCTGCGATTGCAACCGTCAAAAATTGGTTTAACGAGTTTCAAAGGGGTCGCACGTCCGTTTTTGACGAGTTACGCTCAGGTGCCCTAAATCGGGTACCATCGAGAATAACGTAAAAGTAAGTAAGCGAAGATTACTTACTTTACTTTACCTTTATGCGGGAAAGATTATCGCCCCCATATTCTAAGATTCAGAAGGGGTGATCTAAGTTGAATACCTGAAGAATGGCAAAACGGTTACAGAGATCTACTACGCCGAATTATTGGGGAAATTCGAAAACGAATTGCCTAAAAAACATTCTCATTACGTGAAGAAAAAAGTGCTATTCCACCATGACAACAGATCTGCTCATACCTCAGCCATCGTCATGGCGAAATTGGTCGAATTGGGCTACCAACTATTGTCCCAACCTTTTTTTAGATTTCACCCCGTGGAACTTCTTTTTGTTTCCAAACTCGCCGGGAGAACTTTAGGTCAAAACAGGAGGGTTAAGTAAGTTGGAGTATCGCTGGGTGACGTGTGTCATGCTAAAAGTAGACTATGTTAAGAAATAAATCGCCAGTTTTCCAAAATTTTCGTTTTTCTTTAGTTGGCTAAGTGCTTATCGGACCGCTCTAGTTCAACCAAAACTGCAAGGTTACACCTTGCATTATGGTGTCTCCTAATGCAAATTTAAAACTGTAGAAGAATCGTATGTAGGAATATACAGTACTTCTGGGTTCCAGGCATAGGTTTGTGCAACCTTATATAGTACAAGAGAAATAAGGATGAGGCATTTTGAAGTTAAGCCAACTATGAACACATACAGCTAACCACTTTATTATTCATTTTTTCTCTAATTTGTAGTTATTTATGGTCCAGAGAGTATACGAGTAGATGAAAAAATAAATGCACTATAAAATAGTTCGCGAGATATTATAAATATTTTAATACCATCTATGATCTGTACAAACAAAAAAATATTTCCAAATGATGCAAAAGCGTCGTGATATTGATAATGAACACAAAAATGGTTTTTGATAATCTTCATATTTTAAGTTTTATTCTGTCAAAAATAGCTTCTAATAAATTATTTATACACAAACAAATATCAGAAAAATATTCCATAAAAACTTTATTTACTTTCAAATAAATGCAAATGGTGCTGATATCGCAAAAAATCTGTATCATGGGTATTAGTTATTTGCCAATGTCTGTTTCTATTACTTCTTTACAACTCTCTTCTACATAACTCATTTAAAGATCTGGTGGATTCTCCAGAAATACTACTTTTTATAGAATACGCAGCCAAAGCACTTTAATTTTTATTTAATTTTATACTTTATTTTCTTTCTACTCATCTTCTTTTTTTCTCCCACTTTGTACCTTTTTTTTTAGTTTTTACTTGTTTATTATTTCATCCATAGTTAGGTTGAACAATAGGGGACTCAGAGACTCTCCCTGTCTTATTTCATTGCCCACTTCAATAGGGTTAATTCGTTCTTCTTCTACTTTTACTTTTATTGTGTTGTTTAGGTAGATATTTTTAATCGTTTTGATTATATGTGGACAGCGTCCTTTAATTTGACCCAGTCAAATGCCTTCTTAAGGTCCAGGACTCATAGATATGCCAGTTTGTTGTATTCTATTGATGTCTTATGTATTTGCTTTATTATAAATATAGCGTCAGGGCATGATCTTCCCGATAAATCTTTGTTGTTCTTCTGTTAGTGTTATAATTTCATTCAGTTTATTTGTTATCACTTTGGTTGTTAATTTTAGTGCTGTGTTTACTATTTATATATGAAATCATAAAAAATTATTCTTTATTAAAAGTAATTGTTTGACAGAATAAATTTAGGCTTATGATGTTTATTTTTTATTATTTTGTTATGTAGAAGCTCGAAACACGAATGGCGAACGGATCCAGTTAACATGGTAGTAGCAGCAACAACACCTTGTATAGTACCTAAAACAACAGCGTTGTTGAGATTTGGGTGAAGCTGATTGTTGTTCCTCATTGACAAACGTCTATTAATGGTTGGCATTGAGAACACTGCTGCTACCCCTGGACATAAGCGTAATATAAAGAAAATTAAAATAAACTAAATAATAAATATACCTATAAGTAAAAAACAATAAAAAAGCCAAAATAAAAAGTATAGTACAATAGTCAAGAAAATATTTTAAAACAATTCTAGGGTACCAGGAAAAAAGAGTATAAGTCACAAATTTGTCAAAATGAGTTAAATACAAAAAACGAGTTAACATTGTATTTGCCACAGTTTGGTAAAAAGAACATAAGTCTTATTTGCTTTAAAATTCTATTTATCCATTCGGTCGAAACAATATAACTATCTAAGCCTGATACAATTAGTACAAGTCAACTAATACTATGAAGATAACTTTTTACGTCTGAACAAACTGACTTATACTCTTAGTACCTAACTAAAAATTATTTAAGCGTTGCGTTTATACTTGTTTACATGCAATTCGAAAACAAAAAAGTAAAAAATAATTAAAAACCATTTAAAAAAGTAGACTAATAAGCAATGGCTAATTCAAGAACCAAAAGAATGTTGGAAATTTTGAAAAACAACGGTAGGTTGAAATATTTATAACTTTATAGTTCGTTTTTGTTATTTATATTATTGTAGGGTTAGAAATTATAAACTTGTTTCTTGTTAGATAATAATATCGGGATACAGACTGTTAGAATTTTATACGTATAATTGAGATTTTTTATAGTATTTAAATATGTCAAAATCAATAAATTTGATGAATACTTTTAGACGAAGGCAAAAACCAAATCGGTGAAAGTTTTTGTTTTTCTTCTGGATTACATATAGAGCAGAAGACCACTGTTGTTAAAACCACTCACATTACTCTTTGGGATATGGATTTACAATTGCTTTCTACTACAGTTGGATTGAGGAATGAAAACACGAATTTAGATGCTGTTCCAGGTAAAACATTTTTTCTGCTTCATATAAAATGAATTAATTATATTCATTTTTAGGTACTTCAAAAGACCCTATTAATACTATCAGTGAAATAGATTTACTGAGACCATCTGATGATAGTTACCTTGATAAGGATTATGTTGCAGAATCAAGTGATGAAAGTGAAGATAACCCAGAAGTATTTAAAGTAAGTACGAGCCAAAAGAAACAGAGAACACGGAAACATAAATTGTATGATGCAGCTAAAGCAACAGTAGAATATGAAATTGAAAAAACTAAAATTACTGCACAAAAAGGAGCATTTACAAGAAAGAAAAGAGCAAAACGAAAACTGAAAAGAAACATGGGAGAAAGTTATGTAACTGCTAAAGGCAAAGTAATTAAGTAAAGAATGTCAACTCCATTGAATGACTGTAGGATGAAATGTAAATATAAGCTAGAAATAAGACTTGACAATGAACTAACAGTAAGGGAACATATATTTAAACAATACTGGTCTCTTGCGGATAGAAATAAAAGAGAAGATTTATTGCTGGGTTAGTAGACACTACTGAACCTGTGTGATCTACTTAAAGAACCACAGACCCAGAAAAAGAAAAAAATCGTTTAAAAACTCATCGTTTTCATTTTGTTGTAAACAATAAACGAATTTATGTATGCAGAGGTTGTTTCATGAAGGCTCTAGGCGAGACTCAAATGTTTGTTACTTTAGCACTTGTAAATAAATGTTCAACCCTATCTGGGATAACATATGACGATAACAGAGGTCGTCAGGCTTCTGCTAACAAACTTAGCACAGACAAAATAGAAACAGTTAAAAGTCATATTTTGTCTTTTCCTCTTTACAAATCCCACTATACACGAAGAGAAAGTACCAGGCGATATCTTTCACCTCACCTAAATCTACGAATTATGTTCGAACTTTATTGTGAACAAAATAAATCTGAAGAGAAACCAGTGTCAAGGCAGATTTACGAACGCGAATTTCACAAAATGAACCTAAGCTTTAAAGATCCTAAAGTCGACACTTGTCACAAATGCGATTTGTTAGATATGAAATTAAAGATATCTATACCGAAAAAAAAGCAATATAGAACGTGAATTAGCTGACCACCATCAGGAGGCTGACAATGCTTACCTTGAAAAAAGAAACGACAAAAATATGGCCAAAGACGATGAAACAATGCGATGCTATACGTTTGATTTACAGCAATGTCTTCCTACTCCAATGCTAAATACATCTGTTGCATTTTATAAACGACAGCTATGGACCTACAATTTAACTATGCATGAAACTAGTACAGGTAATGTCATATGTTACATGTGGCATGAAGCTGAAGGTGGTAGGGGAGAAAATCAAATAGCTACAAGCATTTACAAAGAACTAATTTCCCTTCCTCCACAAGTAAGCAAAGTAATATTATATTCTGATACTCGTGGAGGACAAAATAAAAATTCTCATGTTGCTGCAATGTTTCTGGTTGCTATGCAAACTAATCAGAATCTAACTTATATAGATCATAAGTTCCTCATTAGTGGACACACTCACATGGAATGTGATGTCGATCACGGTCTGATTGAGAAGCAAAAAAAAAAGAAATTACAAATTCCTATTTCTCATCCATATGATTGGTACCAACTTGTTCGTTCTATGGGAAAAAAGAAGAAATTTAGCGTGGTAGAATTGACCCATTCAGATTTCTTAAATTTTGCCGATCTTCTTAAATCGGACCTGCAGCTTAGGAAAAAAGACAACGAAGAAAATTTATTTAATTGGCACTCAGTCCAATTAAGGGGGGACATCCAAATGCTCATGCTGAGGGGGTATGATACAGTTACTATGATGCATTCGCTTAAAAGTCTGTCTGAAAGAGCAGGATTAAAGATAAACTTTGAGAAAACTAAAATTTTAACAAATCTCGTAATGAGTGGAAATATAACTATTGACAATAATACCATACAACAAACAGACACTTACAAATATCTGGGACACGAAATCAAAATAAGCAGAGACAATCAAACACATGAAATACAGAGGCGAATAGGTCTAACATGGGCAGCATTTGGCAAATTAAGCCATATTCTAAAAAGTTCAATTCCCATGTGTCTCAAGCGAAAGGTTTATAACCAATGTGTTTTACCTGTACAAACTTATGGAGCAGAGACTTTAACACTCACGCAAAAATCTGCGAATAAACTTAGAGTTACACAACGAGCCATGGAACGTGCAATGCTGAACGTGAGCCTTCGAGACCACATAACAAACCAACAAATCAGACGAAGATCAGGAGTTCAAGACGTCATCGAAAGAACCACGACGCTTAAGTGGAACTGGGCAGGGCACTTAGCCAGAACACAAGATGGACGGTGGACAAGACGTATTATGGAATGGAGGCCCAGAAATTATAAAAGAAGCCGAGGACGACCACCGACTAGATGGACCGATGACATTAAACGTGTAGCGGGAAACTGGCTACAAGCGGCCCAGTGTAGAGAACACTGGAAAGAATTGAGGGAGGCCTATGTCCAGCAGTGGACGCGATTGGCTGATTGATGATGATGATGATCCAAATGCTCAGCTAAATCCCAACCAGATGTTATACCTCTACGTTACCAATTTCAAAAGAAAAGAAAAAAGATATATTGGATCTCTTACCCCTAATTACTCCTATATTTCATGATTTTTATAGAAATCTCAAGATAAGTGACATGCCTGATACTTTTCCTGATGGAGATGGTTCGGAAAATTGTGACGAAAGTACTTAATGTGTTTTTTATTTAAGTTTTTAAATTACTTTAATGTTTTTCTGTTTACCTAATAGAGGTCCAAACAAATATTATATGTTAATTTAGTATAGTGGTCAATATAATATAAGTCGTTAATTTTTTCTAAAGTAGCTTAGATATTACTTTGTTTCAAACTTACATTTAGGTAACATGCTATAAGTTTTTTTTAGTAGATATTTAGTTTAAAATTTTTTAAGATACGTTTTTCAAATAATAAAATGCTATTCCTGTTAAATTAAGATTTTTAACTTATACTCTTTTTCCCTGGCAGCCTAGAATTTAGAAAACAAAAATTGCAAAAAATATAGGGTGACGACGGTACACCTAATTACATTATTAGATTAGATTCTACTAATAGAACTTATAATGGTATGTGAAATGCTATCCAGTGAAGACTGAATATTTTGATAACGAAACCAATCAATCAATCAATGAAAAATCAATCATCATCAGAGTGATGATTGATTTGTTAGATTAGATCTTTATTAGATTTCTGTAAAAACGACATCTCAGATGCTAGTCTAAGATCCATTGGTTATTTAAAACTAATCCAATATTTTTCAGTTTTTACTATTTAGATGGGAATAAGCCACAATTAAAGGTTAAAGTTACATTACTAATGTTTGTATTTTGTGAACGATTTCCAAAGTGAAAATTGAAACATCAATAAACTAACTTAAACTTTTAATTGTGGCTTATTCTCATTTAAATAGTAATTACTTTGTTCCTTAATTAAATATAAAAAGGACTGTTTGTTTCTTATGTTAACATTGTGTAAAAACAAATGACGACATCTTTTAAGTGCGTTTTATAGTAACTTTTATCCTTGTAAATATCAATTATTTTATATAGAAGTCAAGTTTCGTTATTAGAAGACTTATAAATCGTTTTATGGATTTTTTGGCTGATACAGTATTATAATTTATAGTTTTTACAAACACATAAATTTTATTTTGTTAAAAAAATGTAGCTTATTATTGTAGAACAAAAAGTTCAACTTTTCATAGAAGCGGTTTAACATTGCTAAAAAACATGTAAGAAAAATTTTATATTACATATATTTAAAAGTATTTTAAAATGAATTTTAAATTGTTCAAATATCAAATAAATGTCGAGCTTACTTTCATCGTCGGGGTTCAGTTCTGGCACTCTGGTTTCAATTTCTGATGTCGACTTTTGTCTTCGCAGAAGCCTTGCTTTGGTTTGGCATTTTGAGGCCTTGTCTAAGCAGTCCATGTGAACGTTCATCTTGCAGATTCGGCATTTTAGGCCTTGTCTGGTGTGACCTGCAATGAGAAAATTTGTGTTGTTAAATATTTTGACGAAACATGAATAATGAAGCATGAACAACTAAAGATTTTCTGCCTGAAAAACTTTTTTTAATAATGTTTAGAGGTATGAACCACTAAGACAAATTCTAATAAAGAAAAATATAGACAGCCGAGATATTCGAATTATATGCAATCTATATTGAAATGAAACAGCAAATGTCAAGGTTGAGGGCAGACTAACAGAAGAAATTCAAATCCGTCGAGGAGTCCGGCAGGGATGTATCTTATCGCCACTTTTATTTAATCTGTATAGTGAAGCTATCTGTGAAAAAGCACTTGAGATAGAAGATCTTGGTCTGATAATAAATGGTGAGACCATCAATTATATAAGATATGCTGACGATACAGTTCTCCTAACGGGAACGCTAGTAGAACTACAACATCTCGTTCAAAGTCTCAATATATATGGTAACAGTTACGGCTTGAAAATTCATTTGAAAAAAACTAAATTTATGGTAATCACGAAATCAAAGAACATCAGAGCTAATCTTGTAATAGACAATACAACGATTGAGCGTGTGCCCTATTATAAATGTCTAGGTGCTTGGATCACAGACGATACTGATCAAACAAAAGAGATTAGATGTAGAATATAAATCGCTAGATCAGTCTTTAATAGAATGCGCAAACTCTTTTGCAATCGTGATATCAATATAAAGTTACGAATACGAATTCTGCGGTGTTATGTTTTTTCTACCCTGTTATATGGAGTTGAGGCTTGGACACTAAAACAGTTGAAAAAGAAGTGTGGGAAGAAGAAAAATATCGTGGCTTCGTAATCTACGTAAATGGTTCGGGTTGTAGTTCGATTGAACTTTTTAGGCGCGCTGCTAACAAAGTCGCAGTGGCCATGATGATTTCCAATCTCCGCTAGGAGTGACACGAGAAGAAGAAGAAGAGGTAAAATATTTTATAGATAAATATTTTTATTAGTCAATAATTATTTTTGTACCATAGGTACAGCTAGTTCCTAAAAAAACTGATACTACTCTTAAAGTGCATTTTGTAGAAAATTGAGTAGTGCATTATGAAGGATAAATACTTATTATTCACATACTGTTACTGTCACTGCCAAATCCTAAAATTTGTAAGATAAATTACTCTCTTCAACATTAAAAAATGGCTCCATATGCTAGCAAAGAACTAAAAGCAAGAATTCTAACAAAATTAGAAGATCGTTGGAGATCATACGCTTTTGAAGAGATTAGAAGGGAAGCCTTTTGAAGATGCGAGAAACTGCAAGAATTATGTCACAGTTTCCGGAAAAAAAAGAGAACAACTTGGCGCAGAATTAAAGCATCGCGTCTTGGGTACCGAACTGCAGCATAAAAAAAACAAGCTCCTACCCACCAAAAGAACAGAAGCAATCAAGACTTACATTTGGTTTAAACCATCAGTTACAAAATCAAGATTTTTGCTAAAAGGGTAATACATATTTATAGATAAGAATTTTTTTCAATCGTCCAATAAGGGCAAAATTTAGGTGTATAGACCAGATAATAATGAATTTAATCCCCTATATGTTAATAGATATAAAGCAGTTGGTCATTTTAGCGCAACTGTATGGAGACGAATTTCATCTAGACGAATGGGAACGGTATGGCGTGTTGATGGCAGGTTTGTTGGTCAGACTTATTTAAATATTCTAGAAAACATCATATTTCCCAGTTTAAAATAGTTTTATCCAGGAAATAATTTTATCCTTCAACAAGATAACTGTCCTGTTTACACTGCAAATATAAATAAACCAGTGGCTCCAGAATAACAACATAGAAGCCTCACCATGGCCCAGCTGCAGTCCAGATTTAAATCCGGCGTAATTTTATACCTTAAAATGCTGAAGACTTCAAGCTGTTAATAATGCTGATAGAGATATTACAAAATATTAATTTTATTTTTACATTCCCAAATTTAGTATAGTTTTGGTTTTCCAGACCCTCGCCTTTTTTCGAGACTTTCTTACTCTCTCCATTTTTTATTAATAGCTTAAGTTTAAATGTTATGCTGCCTCTGATAGTGCTTAGTTACCTTTTAATTTTCTTACAATTCTTGCTTAAATATACTCGGAAATACTAATATCAGGGCTTTTTTATGTAGTTTTTGATTTAGAATTTTATTTATTGTGTGTTTGATATACCCATTGTTTACTGCTATTTGCTAAATGATATTCAGTTCTATCTCGAAGCTATTTTTCGACATGGGAATTTTTATTAATCTATGGAACATGCTATAGTAGGCAGCCAATTTATATTATGTAGGATGGGATGATGAATTGTGTACAGTCGTGTCAGTGTGGGTAGGTGATCATGAAATATGGAGGATATCCGGCTCGAAGGACCAAATGGTTTGTATAAAAGTTAAGAGGTCGCTGGTTAAATGATATTTGATCAATAATAATGAAGAAAAAATGTAATATTTTGACTGTAAATAAAAGTAACGAACATATCAAAATATTTGTAGCAAATATATGTAAAATAAAATGTTCTAATTAAAATAATAATTGGCAGATTTAATAACTTATTGTCAATTCTATAATATGAGATCCACTTACCCTTTGTCTGTGGTTGGGCCCCGCTCGGAATCTAAGGTCTAAGGGTAAAATAGGATGAACACGAACACTCGTGACTCGATGTTGGGTTTTGCTTGCGTTCCCGACGAGAGGTTGTTGCAGAGTACCCGATAATAGGAAAAAATATACATATGTACGCGAATCCACTAGTGTGGTTCTTCTGTTCTTAGGACCTCCTTGAATAGCAGTAAATTAAGCTTAAAATGACATTTTAAACTTTCTACACAAAGGACAGGTACGTTTCCTTAAGCAGTCTGAAGTGTTTGGGTTGATAAATGTTTCCCAAAAACATGTTGTTGTTCAGACAAGTGAATTCTCAGAACTTGACAATAATTAATCAGCCAATTTGAGTTCGAGAATTTAAAAAATAAACTAAAGCCATATTATAATTGATCATTAAAAAAGATTTAACTAAATAAGGCCATATTCGGAATAATAAAAATAAAATATTTAAATCAGTCTTAACACTTTTCCAAACATTCTCCGCCCCAAAACGAACATTTTTAAAAATAACTACAATGTAAAGATGTCATTTTAAGCTTAATTTACTGCTATTCACGGAGGTTCTAAGAACAGAAGAACCACCCTACTGGATTCGCGTACATATGTATCTTTTTTCCTATTATCGGGCTCTCTGCAACAACCCCTCGTCGGGAACGCAAGCAAAACCCAGCGTCGAGTCACGAGTGTTCGTGTTCATCCCATTTTACCCTTAGACCTTAGACTCCGAGCGAGGCCCAACCACAGACATAGGGTAAGTGCATCTCATATTATAGAATTGACAATAAGTTATTAATTCTGGCAATTGTTATTTGAATTACAACATTTTATTTTATATCGATTTGCTACAAATATTTGCTATTTTCGCTACTTTTATTTACAGTCAAAGTATTGCATTTTTCTCTTCATTGACTTATTTTAAAAATGTACACGCCACCATTGAACTACACTCGTATCTCGTTTCGTGCCCCTCCTAAGTCTAATATTTTAAAGCGGTACCCTAACAATCCTTTTGAATTTGGGCAATAGTTTTTGATTAAAATCATGAATGTGTTGCTTGTGTGAGTCCATATCAAATAGGTAAAGAAATAATAATAAGACTTACTCACAATCAATTTAATTTAACAATCTGACGACCGGTTTCGCTTTCTACAATTTGCAAAGCATCTTCAGGTCTAGATACAAAGTTAAACTAATGCTGCAATAAAATAAACCCAATTAGGGTGGTGTCTAATAAAGATAAAATAAACAAATAAGTTAGTTCATACAAATTATAGTAATTATGCCAATATTACATGTCTGTGGTTTTCAAAATGAATAAATTTGAATATATAAAAGGTATTAACAGATAAGGTAAGACCCACAATTAGTATAAAGTAGTAATATTATATTGTAATAAATTAATAAATGAGCAGATAAATAAAACAAAACAAACATTACTTATATGCCGGTACTCTGTTAACTGATGGATAGTAGGTCATGGTTGCAAAAATCATGTATTGTTGATTGGAGAACTTTAATGTGCTATTGCAGTTGTTTTGACAATAAACGGGAAGTTCTTGAGGAGAACAGATTTGATCCAATGAATTAGAGATAGGTATATTGTGGTTGTTTGTCAGATGAAAGTGATGTTCTTTACTATTGTATTATTTAAATTATTTACACTTATATCAGAGATATATTTTTGGAATGTGTGTTATTTATTGAGTATTTATGTAATGAAGGAGACAGTTTTATGACAATGAATAAGAGTAGCTGTACCGATTGTGTGGTTGTGCAATTATTTTGACTTGTAATTATCAAGTCTATTGGCAAAATAGACTTGTTTATTTTATCTTTATTAGACACCACCCTAATTGGGTTTATTTTATTGCAGCATTAGTTTAACTTTGTATCTAGACCTGAAGACGCTTTGCAAATTGTAGAAAGCGAAACCGGTCGTCAGATTGTTAAATTAAATTGATTGCGAGTAAGTCTTATTATTATTTCTTTACCTAGTTTTTGATTAGTTAACACTTTCCTTTTAAAAAATTGCTGTAACAAATTGTTTTGACTTTATCTTTCTTTCCTTTTCTTTTCAATCCATGAAAGTGTCAAGCGTGATACACCATATTCGTTTGCCAAATCGTTTGAGTTTCGTTCTCTAACGTTGATCTGATACGTGATTTCCTTTTACAATAAAATGTATTTTCCTTTGTGATGATCTATGAATTTCAAAAATAACTCAACAATATATCTCGGCGCTACTTTTGTAGAAATAAATAACGAACTGCACGTGTATTTTTGTGTCTTAGAAATCCAACAGGCCCTGAATTCGATCCATTTTTGTTCACTTTTGCGATTTTATTAGCGATCAACCATTTTATTGTGAGACATGTCAATTAAG